TTCTGATTGTTTAAAAAATGCACTTTATTAACACAGGAACAAAAAACCAAACACCACATGTTCTCACTCATAAGTGGGAGCTGAACAATGAGAACGCATGGACACATGGAGGGGAACATCACATACTGGTATCTGTCGGGAGGAGGGAGACAAGGGGAGGGATAGCATTGGGACAAATAGCTAATGTAGATGAAGGGTTGATGGGTGCAGCAGACCAGCATGGCACATGTGAACCTCTGTAACAAACCTGCATGTTCTGCACATGTATCCCAGAACTTAAAGAAAAATCAAATTTAAAATGCAGTTTATAAAATTGTTGAAAAAGCTCTACGTATTTATTATTATTATTCATTGAGGAAGATGTAAAAAATATCTAAAAGAAAAGATAAGAGAAACAATCTCATTACATGAGTTGAGTGCTATTTAAATTTCATTGCTTCCTTGTTGTATATGTCTGATTTTACGTAGCTGAAATCATAATGATTCTGTATGTTACAAAATATATTTTGTTTATTTTTATACAGATAACACACATAAGGTACGAAATTCAAAAGGCACAAAAGGGTAGGCAAAAAAAGCCAGTTTCTCTCTCGCCCCTCCACCCACAACCGGATGTTCTCTTAAATGTCTCCAAAATCCTTCCAGGGGAGTCCTATGCCTACCGTTGTGCATTTGGAGTGAGTTCATAGTCCTTGATCCTATAAGGTTCTCAGGAACCAAAAATTGCTGTGAGAAGGAAATACATCCCTAATTCAATGTATCTGTGCTGATAAAAGATAGTTATACTACCTCAGGGCAGCTACGTAAGCAAAATTATATAGTACAACTCTTTCTAAAGAATGCTCTCAAATTGACAACAGGAGTTGGAGATGCTCCACTGAGACACACTCCCTTAACAGGCCTCCATCCCAAAGATTTCCCAAAGATGTCCTCAGTATCCAACAGTGATGGGAAAAGCTCAGAAACATAGAAATCAGAGTCTGCAGGTATCGGCGGTGTAGCGACTAAGACTTTAACCCCGGTCCCAGGCTCCTAAAGGCAGGGCTCACCTTATTCCAAGATCAGACCTGGCAAGGACTTCCTTATCTTGTTCTGCCCTAGGGTGCTGGGGGTGAGCAGGAAGCGTGGGAGGGGTGGGTGGGGGAATTCCAGTTCAAATGAAGCAGTTTAAAGAAAGTCATTTCCATAAAATCTTGCTTAAAATAGAGAAAGCCATTCTATACTTACTGAAACTCTGTCCTCTTCAAGCTCACTCCCAGCCCACCCCACAACACATGAAGAAGAGGAGGAGTGGGATCTAGGATTTTCCTCGAGATCTCGTGCCGTGTGTGTGCTGCCCCACGGGCTTACACTGCCACAGATCCTCCCACCTGAGTGTTCACCACCCACGGTCTCATTGTGGATCTTCTCCCCAGCAGGCAGCTTCAAGAGTTTTTCAGGAATCTGCTAGTTTGGAAGTTTATTTACCAGCGAAGTGAATTTCCCTGTCTGCTCTCCTTCCTCTCCTCCCAGTACCCATCTGATAAAGTTACAGAAGGCATCTCGGATTCACAACAACCCTCACCAGCCCCCCACTGAATAGCACATCGTCTGGCAACAGGAGGCGTTTGATTACATTTGGATGGAACGCCTGCATCAACTCCAGTTGTCCCTGAATTGGAACTGATGGGCCTCACGTGCTGCAGCCAACAGTTTGCCTTCACCCACTCCCCTCTCCGAAGGGAACCTTTCTTTGGGAAAACAAGAAACCTACGTGCCATCCTGGGTGAGAGACTAACAGGAGCTGTGTCCCAGCATTGCCTTCCAGGCGAAGCAGACAAGAGTACCCTCTCAGGGGTGTGCTACTGCAAGTGGCGTTTCAAGCATCCTAGAAAGAACCTCTAAGCCAGGGGACCCACATGCCCTCTTCGAAGTACCTCTATGCCTCTATGTTCATTTCAACTCGCAGGAATTGAGTTCTTACTATGTGTAGTATAAGGCATTCTGCTGTTGTCTCCTTAGCAAACCCTCATAGCCTCCCCTCTCCCATTCGGACTTATTTACTCAGTCACCATTCTACAGACAGAATAATGACCCTACAAAAATGTCCATGTCCTGTCCACGTCCTAATGCCCCAAAACTGTGAATATGTTACATTGCATGGCAATGGAGAATTTAGGGTGCAGATGAAATTAAGCTTGCTGCCGCTGACTATAAAATGGAAAAATGATCTAGGGTTATTCATGTGCCCCCAGCGTAATCACAAAGACCCATAAGTGGGAAAGAGGGAAGCAGAAGAGTCAGAACTAGAGTGGTGGTATCTTGAGAAAGACTCAGCCTGCCATTGCTGGTTTGGAAGATGGAGGCAGGGGCCAGAAACCAAGGAGAGCAGGCAGGCTTTACAACCCGGAAAAGGCAAGAAAGCAGATTCTTCCCTACGGATTTCTTGATTTTAGCCTAATGAAACTCATTTTAGATTTCTGACCTCCAGAACTGCAAGAGAATAAATCTGTGTTGTTCCATCAGCAGTGCATTCACTGTAGACCTCCTATGTGCCAGGGCCGATACCTGGCGCTGAGACGGCATTCTCACAGCAAGAGCTCTGTAATTTGTATCAGTCATCAGGGTCCCACTAGGGAAACTGAAGCTACTCCAAGTGTCTAAGCAGAGGGCGTTTAATGTAGGTCACTGGCTACACAGGTGGTGGAAGAAGCTGAGAAGCTAACCCAGACATTAGCAATAGCAGATGTTATTATGCTGGTGCTGATAGACTAGGCCAGAGAGATAAAGAAAGGAGGTCATGTTACTGGAATCCAGAAGCCAGGGTCACCTGGTAGAAGCTGGACCATGGTGAGCCTGTCCAGTAGGAACTATGGGTGGGGATAGAACCAGCCAGAGGCGCTGGCAGAGGTAGAAAAGAAGATAAATAAACCCAGCTTCTTCCTGCCTCCTGGCCTCCTGTCTCCTGACTATGTCTCCCACTGGCTGTGCCCAGCGGGAAGCCAGCTGATACGGGTAGTTGGGATACACAAGGGTCATCCCTCCGTGGTTGCAAGCAGAGCCAGGGAAGAGCAATGAATGGATTAATGTATCTGAGAATAGATTCATTCGTTCCTTTTTAGTTAGGTGTGACTGAGCTCCAGCTAAAGGAACATGAGGGGACATACATGTGTCACTTCCAGGCCTGGCTGTGAAAACCTCCCATGCACACTTCAGCATGGTTCTCCCTCCTGCCAGACTGGCGTATACTCCTTTTCTGCACTGGTAGCCATGAATCTTGAAATATAATTTATTGTTTAAAATCCAAGGTTTTGCCATGGTTTCTAAGGTCCTCCATCATGTGGCCCTTCCGCAGCTTCCCACTCTGATTCCGTGTGTTCCGCCCTCATTCACACACCATGCTGGCCTTGCTTTGCTACCAACGTGCCAGGCAAGTCCCACCTCATGGCCCTGCACTTGTAGATTCTGCTGGACTCCTCTCCTCTTCGCTCTCTCTTAACTGATAACTATTCATCATTTGGGTGTCAGCTTGACTTCTATTTAGTCAGATGACCACTTTCTCCATCTAAGAAAGGCCCCCTTTACCTAAATGACAATCACATTTCCTAATTTTATTTTCTTCATAGTACCTGAGATGATCTTGATTACGTGTTTATTTATTTAGCATAAACTTCCCAAACCTGCAAACACTTTGAGGATAGGAGCACAATCTTATTATTTGCTATATCCTTGCATCAGTCAGTTAAACGTTCACCAAAATTTTTTCTTTTTCTTGAAAATAGAGCAGGGCTCATTTCAGACTCCTTTGTAGTTAGGTGTGGCTGAGTTCCAGCTAATGGAACATGTGTAGAAATATATGTGGCACTTCCAGGCCTGGCTGTGAAAACCTCCCATGCACACTCCAGCATGATCCCCCCTCCGACTAGATGATGACAAGGCCCCAGGGAATGGTAGAGGCTCATGATGAAAAAAACCTGGCCTCTTGAATGACTAAGTGAAGGAGAGTTGCCCCAGCAACCTACATTCTCATCCAGGACTGTTATGTGAGCAAGAAATAGGTTCTGTGTTGACTCATTACATGAGGCTACCCTAAGTAAAAATTCCCAATGCCAAGAACAGTACCTGGTCCATCATTATTCTGCAATGAATAGTGATTGAATGACTGACTATTACACACAATAATGACATGTTCAGTGATGAAATGGCTTTTCCCAACACTCGCTCTTCATTTAGTAAGCTCCCTGAGGACAAAGATGTTTTACCAATCTCTGTACTCTGTGCTTTCCACTTTACCTAAACCTCAGCAATTTTTCAATGGATGTATGTTGCATTGGGTTTCTAGGCAATATAAGGGAGGCAATGACTGGCAAAGCATGGTCACGATGCACGAGTATGAGAAGGTGTTCCACGTGACTGCAGCCACCAATGTTGGTGCCACTCTTGCAAGCTTACCAAGAACACTTCGCCTGGTTTTTATTTGTAACAACTCTGAAAGGTAATTACTTTTATAATTCCCATTTTACGCATAATAAATATGAGCTCACAGAGGTATCTTGCTCAAAATTTTACTTTTTTAAGTGATAAAGCTAGAATTAATTCATTGTTTTGTTTTCTTGAGACGGAGTCTCCCACTGTCACCCAGGCTGGAGTGCAGTGGCACGATCTCAGCTCACTGCAACCTCTGCCTACCAGATTCAAGAGATTTTCCTGCCTCAGCCTCCCAGGTAGCTGGGACTACAGGTGCCTGCCACCATGCCCAGCTAATTTTTGTATGTTTAGTAGAGCCAGGGTTTCACCATGTTGGCCAGGCTGGTCTTGAACTCCTAACCTCAAGTGATCCACCCACCTCAGCCTCCCAAAGTGCTGGGATTACAGGTGTGAGCCACCATGCCTGGCCTAATTCATTGTTTCAGAATACTTATTGAGTGCCTAAGATGGGCTAGTCCCCGGGCTGAAACTTCTGCACCTAGTACGGGATTAGGAACTATGAGAACCCAAAGTTCTAAAGAAATTGACATTACCTCCCAGGAGACAAATGGGAGGCTCCAGGCTCCGGCTGAGGACCAAGAAAATTGCCTGGTCATGCAGCCGACGTGTCGAGCTGGGATGCCGCTGCTGCTGCTGCCGTGTGCCTTATGCAAGTTTCTGGGTGGTCTGCCAGACTCGCCTGGAATCCACAACGGTGCAGGGACCCCCTTCGAAGCTCTCCTACTTGCCCAGGCTAATGGCCCTGGCATTCGAATTCTGCCCTTTTCCATACATTCTTTCTGTGCCAGGATTTCAGTAGATGATTTAGAGTGAGTTCCAGGCCATTTCGCTCAGGCAGAGATTTGGGTGAAAGTTTCCTCCCACCCATCTCAGGCCTCAGATAACCCATCAGCGTATGACCAGTTCCTGTAAGAAAGGGGAAGAAAAGCTTGTGGAGACTTTCAGGCACAGGGTAGGGATCGTGTCCTCGGCTGCTGCATTTGCCCACTCTAATCTAGCTGTATGAGGCTTGTCAATAACAGGTAGAAAAGTTCAGGACAAAAAAACTCAGGAAGACGCAACTCGCCTGCGCAGACTGCAAAGGCCCCTGCAGAGTCGCTGGCAGGCTGGATCATTTGCCACTGCAAAGAGGGCAGGCGCTGTTGTCTGAGGGGGCAGGTGGCTGAAGGGAAAGAGGAAGATGACATGAGCGGTTCTTCACAGGGGCTCAGCCTTTTCCACCCTGGAGACACTCCCCTCTGCACTTGGGTGCCTCTCTCTGTAAATAAACCCAGGCTGCTCTTACAGTGCAGGATGTCCCACATACCGTACATCTGAGGTGGGGTGAAATACAAATATGCCTTTTCATAATAGCTTTACACCTGGTGCAGCAGGGGACTGGTTTATTACCTCGGTAAACAAAAGTTAGAATTCAAGCAAAGTACAAACTTTGCCGAAGGCACTTCTGACAGTGCACCTTGTGTTTGTGAAGTGAACTCGATCTATATACGATGTGAAGCAATGGGAGGCTGGGCTTTTTCTTTCTTTCTTTTCTTTTTTTTTTTCACTTGTCTGATTTGCAAGGTTTAAAAGTTCATGTGTGTATGTGTGTGTGTGTGTGTATGTGTGTGTGTCTGAGAGAGAGAGAGAGAGAGAGAGAAAGAGAGACAGAAAGGTTGGAGGAATTTACTTTGGCTCTGGCTTTTTCCAGCATTTTGAAATCATGCTGTTTAGCGTGGAAAAAAATATGTGAGCCAATTTATATTGTTTTCCAGAGATAATGTACTCCTTGCTGCTCTCAGAGTGACAATGAGAATTTGTGGGTCGGAGACAGGGTAAACCAGTTTAGGGAACACACAAAGGAACCAGGATTTGCATTAAGTCTTACTTAAATTAAACATTAAAAAATAAATATTTATTCAGTGTCTTTTTTTGCACCAAGCACAGAACGAAGAACTTTTATCAACATTATTTCATTTAGTATTCTCAACTGCATGAAGTAGAGACTGTTGATCAAAATATCCATTTCGCAGGTGAAGGAACTGAGACTATGGCTGCTCAAGTAATTCCAGCTTATGTGTTCTAATTCCAGATTTGGTTTTTATGCACGTCTTCCAAGCTGTACACAGGATCACAGGCTATGTGGTATCTCGTCACTTTGCTACTCCTTCCTGAAGACCCGCATTTTCCTGCCTTGTTCTCTGCCTGTACTTGAGGAAATGACTGATCTTCTCCATTCTTTGGTACATTTCTGTCCAGATGATTTCCATACTGCTTACCCGCCACCTGGTCATGGAGCTGCCCGATGATCAGCCAGCACCTTCATGCATTCCAATGCCAAGGATGTGAAACACATGAGTTAGATTTCCTTTCAAAACACGCATAAGCTGAAAGGCAAAGGTAGCAAGAGCAAAGCAAGAACACATCTTACGTTTGGTTAGCTCCGCAAACGCCTCTGCACTCTCCCATCCGCAGCTTGAATAAATCAGATAAGCTTCAGCAAAAGCATCTGAACTTTTTGGATTCTTTTCCAAAACAAGCCTTTGAACCTGAAGAACTTTGCCTATTTCTGTGTGTTCACTCCTCAAATGTTCAGCTGGGGCTTGCCCACTGCGCAGCTCAAGCTGGTGAAATTTAACTCTTTCATCCACGGAGTAATTTCCAACCCTTCTGAAGTGACAGTCAACTCATTAGGCTCATTTTAAAGAGAACCCTCTGTGAATGTGTCAGCTTATGTCTGTCTCCACAGACGCAGGATTCCTTCAGGGAACATATTAAACTGAGACTAGCAAGTGGCGATGGCATTAAAACATTGTCAGCTCAGCAGTTCCAGGGTACCAGAGTTGTAGCTCTTGTGCTTAGCAGGATTTCAAGAGAAAGCCTCATCTCCCTCCTCCAGGTCCCCTTCTACCTCTACCCCCTATCACGGATGAATCTTTAATTGCAGTTCCTTGAGGAATGCCTTTGGCTTTATTTATTACAAGCTGTTAGAAAATTATTGGAACACATATACTTACTGCAATGAACAGATTCCAGTTGCAAATAGATTCCACACGATTCCTGTGCCGGAGCCCCTGAGGGAAAAGGAATGGGGATCTCTGGGCTGTGAGCTTGGTCAAGGATGCTTCCTTCAGAGACTCTGCTCTGAAAACCCAGGAGAGCCGAAGAGTGGAATACTAGCAATTAAATGAACTGTAAAGAGCATCTAACCAACCCCTTTGTCTTACAGAGAAGGAAACGAAGGCTCAGTGGAACCACCAAGGCCGAGGCTAAAATAGCCAGCCAGCAACAGGCCTCTGCAACTCCCCGACCAGGGATGATTGCTCTTTTCCATGCTTCCATACCCAGAAAAAGTGAGATTAAATAAAGAGCAATCATAAAAAAAAGAAAAAAAAAAAAAAAAACTGGCCATAAATCCTGGCCTGGATCCACATATCCTGGCTTTTCATTACAGCTTGTCAATACATGTCTGTAGATTGAGTCCATAGAAGGATGCTCACCCCAGGACGGAAGAGAGACAGGAAACCTGGAATGCTTCCAAAACATTGACTGGAAAGCTTACTCAACATTAAGAGATCCTAGTGTATCTTTACATGGTAATATTTCTAGACCAGATAGTCAATGCTTAAAGAGAAATCCATAGTCCTTTCCTCCTTTCAGTTACATTGTCATTAGCTTCTTTGATTTTCTCGCTGGTGACTCTCAGCTGCTATGGGGTCTCTATCACTGGGAAGTGCAGGTGATCCATGATGGAGTCCTAAATTGAAGTAACTGACAGAGTGTGAGAATATTAGGGCTAGAGGAAAAGTTAATCTTGCTCTGCGCCATATTCTTCGGTTTACAGTTGAGTATAGTGGGTCTGAGAGAGGTTAAGTGACTTCAGGCAGGGTCACTGGGCACATGATGGACTGCAAAACTTTGAATCCTCCTCCCACCATGCGAAAGGAGGTTCCTTCCATCTGACAATGGCAGACCACTTCCCTTTGTAATGCTCAGGTGTCTTTTATGAATTATTAATGGATTGTGCCTAGTTCTACAGAACCAAATGTGTATTGCAGCCTAGTCCTAATGAATCCACAGACATCTACATGAGGTATGGATCATCAGTTATCCTCGCCATCTTTTGTTTCATGGAAAGACCTGAAAGTCAGGGGAATTTTCCAAGATTACATGATGAGTCAGCAAAGGCTCTGAGGCAACCAGCTGTTACTGGCTGACGAATCAGAAGATATAAATTCCAGTCCTCACGCTGTCTCCAACCATGTGGGAGATCTTGGGCAAGCCACTTCTGTCTCTGAGTCTCAGTTTCTTCACTCACAGAAGGGCTTTTCAGGATGGCCTCTAAGAACCTTTCAGCTCTGCTGTGGCCTATGGATCTAGAATACAAGGTTCAAACTATGTCATGTGTAAAACATGATTATGCAAAGCCAGAGATTGACTGCCACAATGATACAGCCTCAGAATTCTTAAACTGTAAAGGATAAGTGGATTTTGCCTCCAAAACTGTCTCTTAACAATTTGTATGTAAATAACTATGGTAGTAACAATACTTTATTTTTCTTAAATTTTTTTCAAGCGCTTGGTGATTGCAGTCACTTGTCTGCTTGCAAGGGCAATCATATACACAACAAATGAAAGACAACTAGAGAACTCAGAAATATGATATCTTTATCATTTTTTAACTGTTTGAAAAATAATAAATAAATGGTATTTATTGAAAACTTACCATATACCATGCAGTTTGTATGTACCATCTCTTTTAAGATGCATAAACAATGTTATCATGCCCCTTGTACAGAAGAAACTGAGATTCAATGATGAAATAGTTCATCCAGTATCTACACAACTGTTAAGCAGTGAAGCCCAGAGCTGAAATCAAATCAGCTTTCCTGACTCCAAAGCTGATGTTTCCCACAATTCCAGGTTGCATACATAAAATAATACTGCCTTGTTTGTCAGCAAAATTGTTTTTCCATAAGGAAAGAAAGTTAAATACATGCATATTTTATTACATGTTACAAAGAACACCACGCTTCCCTGGGCTGCAACGTTTGAACAGCTTTGAAAACAGGCCAAGGAATTTGAGGCATTAGTGTGACTTTCCCCCAATAATTTGGGAGGGATAGATACCTATATCTAGAATTATTCCATTCAGAAATATTCACTAGTACGTCCATGGGATTTAAGGTCAGGTGGCCATTTCTTGTTTGGAATTTGCATAATTTCACTATGCACTAGGTTGTTGTCTTGACTACTTATTCAATCCTGTCATCCTCCTAGGGATATAGAGCAATATTAGAGTGGACTTGAAGAAACTGTTTCTGATTCAGAGTCACCCCTAAGAGGGGAAGTGTGTATAGGGTCACCTCAAAGAAATCCACACAAACAATTCTTAAGCCTATAGGACAACCCAGGACCAGATCCCATATGTTCATTCATCCAACATTTCTGGACAGTCTTGGATGATTCCAGCACAGTGAAAGGCTAATGCTCCCACGACAAATAAGATTTAGCCTTGAACTGACCTTGGACACTTCATCTAGGCTGGGCGTAAACTCCAGGAAACACCATGGGCAGCTCCATTTTACCATCTTCCAAGGTCTAGAAATAAAAGTGAAGTGATGTGGTAAAAATCCCTGCATTTTCTGTTCTGGCTTCCACCAGAATGAAAATTGCCCCTTGCCAAAAACTAGATAATGTTAAAGTTGGAAGTGACACTAGAGATTTAGCCATCACTTCAGTTCAAATCTCTCCTTTTAGAGATGAGGTTACTGAGGTTCAGAGAGTGAAAAGATTGCCTAAGGTCACCAGCAGAGCATGGGGCAAGCCTGGCACTAAAACCTAGGTCTCCTGGCTCCAGGCTCAATGTCCTTCCACTGCTATTGATTACTTGCCTTGGTAGTGGGAAAGACATTAGCCCAGAAGAAAAAGAAGCTAGTTTTCGTTAATGAAAATGAGTGATTCGATAGATAGATCTGTGCCTACTCAAACTACCGTGGCTCATGGTCATGTGGGTCTAATTCCATGGCCTAGTAGCAACATGCCTATGCTGTAGCCACTGTGGATGTCCTGAATGCAGCAGATGTTTTCATGCTTTGCACACTACCTTCTCTCTCTCATCCGTCCTCATAGCAAACGATTACTCCTTTAGAACCCATTCCATTACTGCCTTTGTGGAGATGTGGCGAACTTATGCTGAGTCAACTTAGATAAGC